TATATATATATATAATAGACGAGCGGAAGAGGCAAAAATAAAAAATACACGTATATCTCGAAAATCGCCTCGAAAATGCAAGTAACTCCAAACACCGTTTTAAACGTTTGAAAACGACTGCATTGTTTCCATCTCCGCAGAGCAAATCCGTCGGCATCGCAGCTTATAATACCCCTTGGTACAATTTGAAACCCAGTGACGGCCGCGTTTTGTTGTTTATTATATTACGATCGCAGAAGCAACTGACGCTCACAGCAGGAAAGATGGTGGATCTCTCCCTAGAATCCTTCGCGAGTGTAAGATTTATATGTACATCTCATAACACGTAACTCTGTGTACGCGTAATACTGCGAATACACATAATTTTCCTAGACAAAAACTTCACGTAAAAACTACTTATTTTCATTGTTCTTCATTCGCAATTGATTGCAACGTGTGCTAAATTTTCGACGCAAAAAACGCACTAATTTATGATATTGTGAATTATGAGATTTTATTTTACCAATAATTTAAAAGACACTATTTTTTTTAGATCATGAAAGCCTCTGGATCATACTTGTCGGTGCTGTTGGCGATGCAATGATAGGTTAAACGCAGCTGGACAATTATTTTTTAATAAAGAATCGTCGCAGAACACCGAGTTACTCATGAAAATCACTGGTTATAGACTCCGACATTGTACAGAAAGAACATATTTCACTGATAATAAGAGGATTGGATCCATGTGGGTCCAGTCATAAAAAAGTTCATTCGTGGAAAATCCATTGTTACTTTTTTTCCGTGAAGATGATTGGCTATCCCGAAATCTCGATCTGAATACGAGTCTTCTTCCACTTCGGCTCGCTTTTGTCACGATCGACTGTCAACGTAGATGTTTACCGTTCGTAGTAGTATGTTTTGACAGTTTGCATGTAAGTGTTAACATTCTCGCGGGAAGGTTAGCATGACTACAAAAAGTTAATTTCTCTATTGAAGTACGTTTTCCAGCAAGGTACACAGGAAGACGCGAAGTTATTTTGTTGACAAAATATCATTTTACGATATTAAGACATCGTGTTTCTCTGCTTTTCCTTATTTACAATACACAAAATAGAATATAAAGTATAATAAACGAAAATATAAGAAATAATATAATGCGTTTAATATATATTTTACCAGAAGAATAGCTCGGTAGTAGGGACAAAAAATTTCATGCAGAAGATTTAACTGAGGCGATTGCTATTAGTTACCGTATAGCACATTTAATTTATTGACTCGAACCAATTCAACAGAGTTTCGCTGGTCGGTACCAATACTAAAATCTATAGAATATATTACGTATATTATAGATTTTGAAAATGATTAATGGAATGGCTGTTGAAACAAGTCGAGTCAATATATTGTATACGATATTAATCACGTTTTAATACAGCTCAATGTTCAAACGAATATTTTCAGTAGTAGCAATACAGGATTTTTTCGTATGGCATTCTTATTCATTTACATAAACTGAAGTTTTTGCAATCTAGTAGAGTAATTAGCTATAGACCGCATATGTTGTTCTAATTTGTTTAAAATACAGACAACATACGTGACAATCGTTCGAGAATCGTCCTTTCTGGAAAACTTAAAAGTGCTTCCATGTTGAAAATTTCCAGGTCCACGGCCCCTAATAATCTTGATCGCTCTCAATTTATTGAGGTTTCCGAATATATGTGCGATGCAAACCAGAAGCGTTATTCGTGCGAAATACTCTCCATCTCCACGCACACTTTTTTTACCGACGCCATGTTTTAGTTCATCGGTAGATGCACGCCCGAACAATTTATTGATAAAAAATTCCTCTAAAAATGTGTTAGAAATTAGATTGACTGAGAAATTACATTTAAGGTATATTAATCGTTAAAAAGCAGTTAAGTAGATGGTACAAAGAACACTTGCGTTGTCCTCCACATTGTGTTGAATGAAGAAATTTCCCGTCTGATCGTACAACACATATAAACATTCCACGTGCACTTTCTGTAATAATTGGAAATCCGATCCCTTCATAATTGTATATAAACATTTCCGCGGAATGAACGCATCTACATCAAGCATCGAAGGCGACATGTACTCGCGCTTAGTTTTTCGATTCTTCAATGAGTTGCTCAATTCCTGCGGGCTGCAAAACTTTCCAGCAAGTGATGAAGACTTATGACTGGTGTCCCTCGCACGAGCAAACACCATGCTGTATCTATGTCCACACGAATCATTGCATATTTAAATTGCGTAGCTCGCGATTGTAGTTCAATAACAACATAATAACAGCAGATAATAGCATGCGAAACACAAGAGATGACTGACTTATTCGTTCTTCCCGCATCGAGGTAGAAAAAGTTGCAAGACAGATAATCGTATAACGATGCATCCCCCCGGCGAACACCGCGGCCGACCGACCATCCGTCGGCTGCAAAACGTCGCTCAGCGCCAAACAATCTCAGCGATAAACAATCTCACGCGCGGCGCACACATCCGACACGTGCGCACGTAGGCAACAACAATTGTTGTTGCCAAACACGCACGTGTCGGAAAAACCGTAGCTACGTGGTATAAAAGACCGCTCCGCCGCGATAACGGTACCCGATTCCACCGGAGGCAGCCGGATCGCAAGATTACAAGCTGCTCCGGATCCCGATCCCCAGGTCGAGGGACCGCGACGGTGCGTACGCCGTCTCTGCTGTGAATACGCAGCCAACTCGACATCCTTCCGTCCGGCAAAACCGAGGTAGTCCGTACACTGTCTCTCACGTGAAAGTCGCGGGCACCGGACTCCCAACTTCCATCTCGGGACGGTGTGTTCGCCGTCTCCACCGGGAGCTACTGGCCCTTTCGCCCGTGACAGACCTGGGGATCGGAACGAGCCGGGGTGGTGTGTTCGCCGCCTCTGTGGAGTGTTCTCGACCTCGGCCACTCCACTCTCGTCATCGGGCCTTGCGCCTCCGGGGCCTGCGTAAGCCCCGGTGCATCGTTCCGCGTTCCGCGCCGCGAAACCGAGAGACGACGCGCGTCTCGCCGTCCGCACCTCATCGGAGGTACCGCCGACCGCCGCGAATATACCGCCGCCGGTTACACGTCGGCCAGGCTCTCCCGACCGAATCCACCGCGTCTTGTAAAGGAGCACGACACCGTGCCCTCCGTTCCGGGATTCGGCCGACGCGAGCACTCCGCGTGCAACAACCTCCGCGCACCGCGATACCGTGATCCGCAGGTGCATTCCGCCGTTTGCACTCCGATGCGAAACCTCCGAATTTAAACGCCGGGACAACTCGCGAACCGTCAACACAACGCGCCGAATCATAACACCGCGCCCGCTCTCCGCGAACACCGCGAGCGTCGCCAAGCGCCTGCTCTACTTCGATTCCGCGAAGACCGATACACCGAAAACCGACTAAGCCGTCGATACAATACCACGTCACAAAGTAAACACGGGATTCCGTCGCTGTTTCTGTAACCATGTTTACCAACTAAAAACGATGGAATTAAAGCACGGCCCGCCGCTACATCGAACTGTATGAGACAACGTGGAAAATAATCGAATAAACGGCTAATATCGAATATTCGCTCACTCACTCACTCACTCATTCACTCGTCCACTCACACACACACAAACGCATGCGCAACGAAGAACGCCTGGACACCCGGCGAGCTACACCGAGGCCACCGACACCGAACACGGTCAACCGTCGACACCGGACGACCACCCTACCGACCGGGATAGGGCGAACGTCCACCGAACGACGGGGCGCGGGACGCAAACGATAATGACCTGCGCGCATATGGCATGCTGGAAAATATTTAATGAGATGCTCTCATTGGCCGATCGCCAAAAGGTGCACACATTTGATGACGCCTCTCAAAACCTCCCACGTATCCCTCTGTACACGTATATTCTACGATACACGTCGGGCCATCATCGAAGAAAAGAAGAAGAAATATATTTTGTCAGAGCGAGGCTCCCCTCGCTTTACCGAAGCTTTACACTCGGTTTTTCTGTGACTCTTTGACTCGCATTCATATCCACACAGGCAACACCTGGGGGGAAAAAAATGATAGCCCGTAGGACTAGGCTTAATCGCACGGTGAAGTATATGTTCATTCTGTCTGGTATTTGGCCAGGCATGTCCTGCGTTCTGATCTGCAGGTTATTTTGGACCGTCATGGTAGCGTTAATCGAATACTGTCATTATTATTACTTTTTGGAGCATATGTACACCGCCGACTTCCTCGAACTAGTGGACTGCATATGCAGTTTTCTGGCATACGGCAAAACGTTCATAAAAATTATTCTGTTTTGGTTGAATCAACAGTAAGTGTGGCGTTCATCTGGCTCATATATACCATAACGCTAACATATTGTTATTATTGTCAGAATATAATTTATATTTAGTGTTCTGAAAAACAAATCCTCTCAAGATTAGGACAATGTAAATATAAGTTAGAATTTCTTACAATTTTCATCGATACATCCCGAGTGTGTGTAAAATTGTATATCGTACAAGTAACTATGGTTATAACACAATCATGTTCACACACTTACACACACAATCACATACGTAAATTGCAATCCTGTTTATAATGTTGAGGTATATATAGTGTCTAATTACTCGCATCGCGATATGCACTTCCGTAGACGATAATACTTCGGTAATTTTCGCTTGGGATAGATATTAGATGTCAAAAGCTTCACAGTCATCAAATTTTTAGATCTGTGTTTATTTTCTTCTCGGAAACACGAGTGATTTTTCAGTCGCGTGAAATTAGGATTAACCCCTTGATCAAGTGTAATCGATGAGACGCAATCGTCTGCAGGAACCTCATCAAGATCATGTCGATAATGTCAGACGATTGGGATGACTGTGTCAAGAGCGATGTCGGGCTTCGAGAGACGGAATACAAAGCGAAAATCTCAGATCGCCTTATAAACTCGATAGTCATGCTTCACGCGATGGAGGCCTGCGCGTATAGTTCCGGCGCTATCCTGAACAACGTTGAAGTCACCAATCGCACGGAGGAGCTGCCTTATATCGACAAGTTAGATATCCCCTTCGACGTTAACACGCAATTCATGTACAGAAGCATATTATTCGCAGAATGCTTCGCTGTGATCACGGTCTGCTGTGCAGCTGGTGTGACGAACATGTTCGTCTTGAGTCTGGTAAGCAGAGCAAACTTGTGGACAAGTAGGCTGCTACCTTCTGTTTTAACACGAAAAACGTGTATTAATGTGATAATAAATTTAACTGAATGACTGTATAGCAAATTTTGGTATGTGTCTCGCCGCTTATGTCGCAAAATAATTTTATGCCAAATTGGTGGCCATGCACCTAAAACTAATTTCTTCCTTATAGAAGTCAAGTATGATTGTTACTCGTGAAGTTTGATCAATTTAATAAGCGAAATCTTCAATTTTAGACGTTACACGCCGCCGGCCAGATGGACATTCTTCGTAACTGGTTCACGCAACTCGTACCCCTTGCAAATGAGAATAAACATGAATCCACCGTTATTTTGCTAAAACGGATCGTACGGAAACATCAGAAAATCATTGATTTTTCGGAAACTATTGAAAGTCTCTACTCGCTGATCGCGTTCATACAGTTCACGTCGAACATAATAATGATTTGTTCTTTGGGCTTTGTAATCGTAACGGTAAGATCGTTGAATACCACAAATAGTGAAAAGATATGCAAGCAAATATTAGGTTTAGTAAAAAGTAATCCATTATTTTTCCAATAGAGGGC